AGGATGGTATAAAGTGTACTAATTTGTTGTGTTTTATATAATATGGATTAATATGGATTAGATCCATTGGAAATCACTCAGATCCATTGGAAATCACTCAGTTTACCTCAGGGGTTTACCTATACGCACAGTAGTCAGAGTTCTTTCCTAAACAATCTAGAGCCAAGTGAAGAAACTTTTATTTTTTAAACATCAGCGACAAAATTCGTGAAAATTATATACCAAATAAATAAATGCTGCTGCTCATTAGTGTAAACACCAAAAATTACATAAAACATCAAAACAGCGCAAATATATAAAGATAAGTAAGTAAACACACACTGCAAACAAAAAATAAAAAATAATAATAAAAATAAGCCCCACTCCAAAATCGATAGTGACAAAAAATATATGTAAAATTAAAAAATAAAAAATATAAAAAATATTCCAGAAAGTCCTCTTCCAAAGAAACTTTATACCGTGCTTCCACCAAAAAATAGTGCTCAAATACAACACCGCACTCACCAGACATTGGTGAAAAAATGCCTTCTGCTTAGGGTTTTTTTGGGATCCTAGACCCGGTCAGTATGCCTCCAATCACCAAATATTCCTGGATTTCCCCCACTCCAGACAAGAATATAGCCAGCCTCCAATCTCCAGGATCACCAGACACCTCTCTCCAAGAAAAAATTTGGAATAATGTAGGAAAAAAAAAAAAACAAATATATTAGCGTAATACTGCAACACTCGGTTATACTCAACTCCAAGTATCAAACCACTCACATTCTTTATAAATAAAATCAGCATTTATTGCATTTTAAATGGAGCCAAAACGCCACATCACCAGGGTATTTTCTGAAATCTCACAGTCAGCAATAGATGACAGCACAAGAATCACACATAAGCAAGTTGGCCCCAGGGAACGCTGCACGCCGGCGTGCGTTCCACTCACCGGAAGTGACATATTACGTTAGACGGCGAAGCCAGAAATGCGTCAACGCATTTCGCCCCTCCTCCAGGGCGTTTTCACAGACAACCTTTATTACCCATGTACACAAGTACTCATAGATAACTGTTCATTATAATATAGCTGCTTTGAAAATATCCGGCAGAGAGACTGGGGATCAGAGAATACATCATATCCCACATCTTCATGGAATCCAACAACTGGAAAGAACTAGAGGAAGAAAAAGTACCATCCCCTTTCCTGGAGGAAATGGTAAGTACACAAATCCTAATGGGAAAATAGTACTATATGCCTGTCAGACTGGAGCAATGCTGTGTCCTTACAGATAATGTAGGGAACACACACATATTCCAGCCTGCAGGAAACCCTCACAGACTAATCATTCGACTGATCCCTTTTCCATGAGAGGAGATAAGAACATATCTTTCTATGTAACAGACACAATGGTGCACAGTTGTGAGTTAGAGTACAATGGTACATGATATCTCTATGAGGTCTATAAGATGTGACGTCAGCCATCACGATGTGCTGGAAGCACTGGGTATAGACACATAGTTTGCATCTAGATTTGTATCCTATCTGCTCTCCCACTGCATGGAAATGAGGAAGAAGAGATCGGCTCTAGTTTGTATTGAGAAAGATGGTCATTACTGAACAATAAGACCAGAGATCTATAAAGACTGAATATGACCTATGTGTTTTCTTTTTACAGCCCATGGACATGGAAATGGATGAACAGATTTCTCCATCAGCTATAATGCCTAAACCTTCAAGGAATCCAGGAGAGGAGATACACTTACCCATGTTCACATACATCAACAGCATGTGGGCACGCATGTGAATGGGAAGAAGACAACGACGACAACATCGTTCTGCAAATATTTGTAGAAAAAAAAATCTATGCATAGTTGACAATTTGTTAACATCAAAGAAATGTTACCACCATTCTCAACACCATAGATGGTTGATCCAGTGAGTAATCCACCAATCGCCTTCAGGGGTCAGGAAAGAATTTTCTTCCCCTTGCAGCAAATTATATCTTGCTTCACAAGGGTTATTTTTGCCTTCCTCGGGATAAACAGGTGAATTCCATAATGTACCATCACCTGATAAGGCTCAAATCCCGTACATACAGAAGAAACCAGCAAGAATTTGTGTCCTGCACCTACAGTGTTTCCCTTTTGATAGAAACCACTAAGCTCTGTGCCCTGTGTCACATGACACAGTGAAACCGCCAAGAGTTTCTTCCCTGTAGGTGCAGTGTTTTCATACTGGAACCGCTAAGCTTTGCTCTGTATGTACACAGAATAAAAATGAGCTAACATTGTACACCCTCAGCTGTACTTACCTCCCAGGGTGAGTGATCAGCACCCACGGATCCAGTGTAGTGGTCCAGGGATTTGAAATCCTTGCGCTTTTCCCTCTTCTATCTGCGGCACTTTTGGGTCGGATCAGAGCGATGTTCTGTGCTGGTGATGACCGGTCAAAATCTCACTGATCCGTCCCGGAAGCGTTGCAGAGTAGAAGAAGAAGAGCAGGGATTTCAAAGCCACTACACAGGCTATGTGCGCACTGACAACTCAGCACCCACAGAGGTAGGTACAACAGGGACCGGGTGAGTGGGCATGGTGTATGGTGTTAGTGTTTACCTTTTCAGAAAAAAATGAATAGGTGAACTAAGCAGAGAGCACCATTGTTTACTCTACACCACAGATGGTTGATCCAGGGACTAATTCGATCGGGGGGGGGGTCAGGAAGGAATTTTTTTCCCTATTGGAGCAAATTACACCATGCTGCACAAGGGGTTTTTAGCCTTCCTCTGGATCAACTGTGTGTTATGGAATTCACCTGCAAAACATCCCATCATCAAGTCCTATACATACAGAAGAAACCACCAAGAATTTGTGTCCTGCACCTACAGTGTTTCCTTTTGATAGAAACCGCTAAGCTTTGTGCCCTGTGTCACATGACACAATGAAACCGTCAAGAGTATCTTCCCTGTAGGTGCAGTTTCTTTATACTGGAACCACTAAGCTTTGCTCTGTATGTCTGGGGAAATAAAACTGGCCAGAGAGGGATTACTTTGACGCAGTTGGCCAGCTTAAACATGTATTGCAATATATGTGAACCAAAAATCCCTCTTTTATGGAAAGTTTGCTAGAAAAGAATAAGAATGTATAGAAGTGCAGAGTATTCATTCAGATTTGCTGCCAACACAGCACAAAACAACACAAGGCCACCTGTTGGGGTGCGCTGCACATTCTTTGTAAGATTTGGGAAAAACTATGAAACAAGATGGTGGCAGAAGGTGGGAGGAGCTCATCTTTATTTATATTGGCCTTATCGTTTCTTAGAAGCAATGCCATTTTATTCAGATTTAATGAGAGGCTCCCCTAAAAAATATATCCCTTAGCATAGTTTAAATAACTTGAAAATAATTAAGAGGGACACCTCAAAGGGCTTGAGAAAAAAATGAGGTGTGCAAAGCGTGTGGTCAAGAGGGCCTGAGGGAACACTGAAGAGAAAGAAGAAATAAAAAAAGTCCTATGATTGGCCTCAGTGAGAATAAAATAAGTCCCTTCACTGATATCAGTGGTATTAAAATAAACTCAATCATTGATGTCAGTGGAATAATGAATACTTTATCATTGAAGTCAGTTGCAAAATAATAAAGCCTATCACTACTGTCAGTTGAAATAAAAAAAATCCCATCACTGGTGTCAATGGAATAAAATAAGTCCTTTCATTGGTGTCGGTGGTATTAAAATAAATTCAATAATTCATTTCAATGACATAAATTATGCACTCCATGTATGTTGGGGGGAAAAATCCCATCACTAGTGTCAGCTGAAAAAAAAAATGAATCCCATCAGTAATGTCAGTGGAACAAGTCCTATTGTTGAGTCAGTGGGAATAAATAAATAAGTCGCACCATAGGTGTCAGAGAATAAAACAAGTCCTGTCATTGGTGTCAATGAGAAAAAAAGTCTCATCATATGTGACAGAGGTATTAAAATAAACTCAGTCATTGATGTCAGTGGGATAAAGTATATTTCATCATTGATTTCAATGGCAAAATAATAAATCACTAATCTCAGATGAAATAAAATGAATCTCATCATTGATGTCAGAGGGACTCCCATTGTGTCAGTGCAAATAAAATAAATCCCATCATTGGATTCAGTGAGAATATAATAAGTCCCATCATTGGAGTCAATGAAATAAAATAAGTCATATCATTGTTGTCAATGCTATGAAAATAAATTCAATCATTGATGTCAGTGGGATAAAGTACATTCCACATTGATGTCAGTGGAAAAAATAATAAAGTCCACCACAAGTGTCAGTGGAAATAAAATAACTCCCATCATTGGTGTCAGTGGGATAAGTCCCATTTTTGTGTCAGTGGAAAGAAAATCAATCCCATAATTGGAGTTACTGGGATAAAATAAGTCCCATCATTGATAGAAATTAGATCAAAATAAATTCAATCATTTGTGACAATGTCGTAAAATAAGTGCCATCAGTGGTGTCAATGACCTGTGGCATGACCTTAAGAGAGCGATTCACAGCAGACATCCCAAGAATATTGCTACACTGAAACAGTTTTGTGAAGAGGAGTGGTCCAAAATGACTCCAGATCGTTGTGCAGGTCTGATCTGCAACTACAGGAAACGTTTGGTTGAGGTTATTGCTGCCAAAGGAGGGTCAACCAGTTATTAAGTTCAAAGGCTCACATACTTTTTCCTCCCTGCACTGTGAATGTTTACATGTTATGTGCAATTAAACCATGGCAACATCTAATGTTTGTGTAGTATTATGTTCAGCAGACTGTGTTCTTCTATTGTTGTGACTTAGATGACGTTCAGAGCACATTTTATGCCCAATTCATGCAAAACTCCACGTAATCCCAAGGGGTTCACATACTTTTTCTTGCAACTGTAGACCTGGACGTGTGGGCGGTCCACCATTATAGTGCAGGTTCTATGAGCCTGTGTGGGAGGTGGAGCCAGGGACAAAATGTGGGAGGAGACCAGGGGCGGAATGACAACTCATGGGGCCCCCGGGCAATAGGGGATCATGGGGCCCGTGTCCTTGCCCAAATTCAAAAAAGCCTATGAAAAAGGTACCAGGGGCATCTCATGGGGCCCCCTACTGACCCCCGGGCCCTGGGGCAGTGCCCAAGTTTCCAAATGGTCAGTCCACCCCTGGAGGAGACTCACCTAGTCTCTTGGTAAATGAAAGAAGATAAAAGAACTTAATATGAGAAATGGGCGGAGCAGAATAGTTAGGGGCGGGTCAGAAGGAGCATATTGTAATCCCTCTTCTGCAGTGTTCTGGGGGAGGTACTAGAAGAGGAGACTACAGCTGTCAGCTGTGCCGTGCCCCCCCCCCCCCCCCACACACACACAGTGCCCGGGTCATGTGACTCTTCCTTGTCCTGGGCCTGCTTCCATTAGTATGGAGACATATAACCCTCATCAATTGTAAATATAATCAGGCACAAGTAAGATTGCCTTCACTTCTGACCAACATGGGAGCCTCGTGTTTTTTGTGCGTGGTTTTTTTTGTGTGTTTTTGGCACGACATGTAGGGCAGTCCTCATGTTAATAAAAGTGCCCCCAGTAGCTCCTGTACCCTTCTTTTGGGTCGGCTTTGGTGTGTTTTTGAATAGCATTTTCGTTTTTCCCCATTCCTGCAACAAAACACGCGTTTCTTTAGTGTGTTTTAGGGTGCCATTATTATTATTATTATACAGGATTTGTATGGTGACAACAGATTACGCAGTGCTTTATAACATAAGGGCAGAAAGTACAATTACAATACAAATGAATACAGGAGGGATCAGAGGGCCCGGCTCCATTAACAATGAATGGCACCCAATTGCAGAATCCATATGCTGACCAATGTGTGTCACCAAAAAAAACCTAGACAAAAATGTGCTTTTGGCATGCGCCTGGTGTGACTGCGGCCTTAATGACTTCAAATACTATTCAATGCTTCAGGGAGAAAAATGAGTATTTAGCAAAAAAGGGGAAAAAAAGTCCAGCAGTGAAAGGGTCAAAATTATCATTAAAAATTGAATATCTGAGATCTCACCCCTCTCTGGCAGTTGCAGTTTCTCATGTCTGTGGACATAACTACAACCCCCCCCCCCCCCCCCCCCCCCATAATCTGCTGCACCCCCTTTTTGAATACAGCACCATTCACATCTGTGCATTGTGGGAATGCATGCAGACACTTTTTTGCACGCCTTGCGGTGCACGTCACACGTCAAAGGCGCTATAAAAAGCACAAAGCTCCATGCCAGGGAAGGTCCTGGAGTTTCTTTTTGGCATGTTTGTTGCACAGAGAAAAGCCCATTCACTTGAATCATGTGCTGTTGTGCTAACAATGCAGCAAAAAAAAAAAAAAAAAAAAACATGAAAAAAGGTGCAATGAATGTGATGCAGCACTGTGAATGAGGCCCATCAACCCCTGCTTACCAGCTGAAAGTTAAAATCAGGAAGACTGGAAATGCCTGCAACATCCGCCAGCAAGTGAGAGAAAATATCAAAAATGAGCAAAAAAACAAAAAACAAAAAAAAAAAAAAAGAAAAAACTGTCCATCAGTGAAAGGGTTAACATGATCATAAACATGAATATCTGAGCGCTCACCCCTCCCCTTCTCTGGCAGTGGCAGTTACTTGTGTCTGCTGACATCCCTCCCCCGCTGAGCCTCATATGTAATCTGCTGCACCCCCTTTTAGATTCACCCTAGGTTCACAGGTAAGCATTTTGCAGAAATGCAGTACAGTCCAATTAACATGATTTCCTATAGGACATGTTCACACCTGTGAGTTTTCACCCGATGCGTTTTTGGAAAGGGTCAGGGACTTTTTTAAACACAAAAAGTTGCGTTTTTGGTTCTATAGACTTCAATGAAAACACTGCAGGAAAGCATGTAGTGCATTTTTGCTGTGTTTTTTATGCATTTTTGCCATGTTTTTGATATGTTTTGCATTTTAAACCTGCCTAGCAACAAGAAAAAAAGAAAAAGAAAAGCATCAAAAACGCAAAACGCAATGCAGAAACATCTCAAATGCAACCTGCATAGGTGCAAACCTAGCCTAAGTCCCCATCATCCCCCAATTACCGGCTGAAAGTTAAAATCAGGAAGACTGGAAATCCTTGCACCAGATGCCAGCAAGAGAGAAGATACCAAAAATGAGCAAAAAAAAAAAAAACAAAACCTGTCCAGCAGTGAAAGGGTTAACATGATCATAAACATGAATATCTGAGCGCTCACCCCTCCCTTTCTGGCAGTGGCAGTTACTAATGTCTGCTGACATCCCTCCCCCGCTGAGCCTCATATGTAATCTGCTCACTCCCTTTTAGATTCACACGTTCAAGCATTTTGCAGAAACGCAGTACAGTCCAATTAACATGATTTCGTATGGGACATGTTCACATTTGCGCGTTTTCACCTGCTGCGTTTTTTGGAAAGGGTCAGGGATTTTTTAAACGCAAAAAGTTGCGTTTTTGGTTCTATAGACTTCAATGGAAACACTGCAGGAAAGCATGTAGTGCATTTTTGCTGTGGTTTTTTTATGCATTTTTGCAGTGTTTCTGATGTGTTTTGCGTTTTAAACCTGCCTAGCAACAAGAAAGAAAGAAAAAAAAATCAAAACCGCAAAACGCAATGCAGAAACAGCTCAAATGCAACCTGCATAGGTGTGAACCTAGCCTAAGTCCCCATCATCCCCCAATTACCAACTGAAAAATAACCATGACTATCTGAGCACTCACCCCTCCCCTTCTCTGGTAGTGGCAGTTGGATGTGTCTGCTGATAACACTACCCCCTCCCCCGCTGAGCCTCATGTGTAATCTGCTGCACCCCTTATATGGCAAATATAATTTAAGTAAAATTTCCCAAACAGATGAAGAAACCAGTATTTTGAACATGGGTTTAAAATGTGCACATAGAAAATCTTTGAATAAATGCGAGATGTACATGTAGATGCACATAAATACACGCATACACTCAACCTCAATAAATATTTTTTGATGAATCCCCTTAGTATGAGAATTCAGAAGATTAAGATAGAAAACGCAGCAGATAGTGGCCTTACAAATAGGCCCACGTTTAATCCCCAAATTTCCAACAACCATTTTGTGGAGGTCTTCCAAAATTTGGTCCTAAGGGATTTGAACCAAATTAATCCAAAAAGGTATGTTAATCCCAGGTATATTAGTGAGGGAATAGAGTCCCTGGAGAGGCACAAGGACATCATTATATGGCCTGCCAACAAAGGTGGGGGTGTTGTTATATTACATAAAGAGTTTTATCATTCCCAATTATTAGATTTGTTACAAGATTCAGAAACGTACACTAAACTTTTGATGGATCCAACGTTGTTGTATAAAAAAGAATGAGAAATTGATACAGTGGGGTTATAAATTTAGAGTTTTATCCAAAAAAGAAATGAGATATTTGATTTCAAGTTTTTGCAGACTACCAATGATATACACGTTACCAAAAATTCATAAAAACATCCAGTGTCCACCTGCCAGATCCATTGTTAATGGCATTGGTTCGGTTACGTCTAGATTAGGGGAATGTTTAGATACATTTCTCCAGTTAAGTGTAGTAAACACAAAGGCATATTTAAAAGACACCAAGGACCTAATACGGTTATTGAATCAGGTTGATTTTCAGGATATGTCTACAATCTATTTAGTGACTGCTGACGTATCATCCTTCTACACCATCATAGGACATGATGATGTAAATCATCCCGAGCCTGATTTAGGCCTTGAGTAAACGGGATGATTTACCCTTTTCTCAAAAGAACTTTTTAAGAAGAGCTCTGGATTTTTGGTATCAAAATCAGTACTATAAACAATTAAACGGTGTAGCCATGGGTGCCAAATTTGCACCGAGCTTGGCAAACTTCTTTATGTCGGAGTGGGAGGATAGATTTGTGTTTCATAATTAAAAACCTGAGCTGATCTTTTATTGCAGATCAATTGATAATCTGCTGTTTATTTGGGATAGCTCTGAATCTAATTTGCAATAGTTTATGACATATTTGAATACCAATATTCAGAATATTAAATTAGAGTACCATTATAGTCAGCAGGAAGTGAATTTCCTTAACGTCATTATTTCAAGGCAGGATAATAAACTGGTTACAAAAGTGTATTTTAAGCCGGTCATCTCCGTGATCATTGTGTCCTACGGACACACCTGATCACGTGATGTGGTGTAAAAGGCCAATCACAGTGGCCTTTTACCCCGTGATCAGCTGTGTCCAATGACACAGCAGATCACCGGGTAAATGCAGTTGCAGGTTATCGGCTGCACTTTCCTCACTCTCACAGCGTGAAGAAAGTACTACCGATAACAGGCAATTGTCAGAGGACGGATCAGCACTGATGATCAGTGCCCTGATGATCAGTGCCCAGCAGTGCCACCCACCTGTGCCCAGCAGTGCCACCCACAAGTGCCCAGCAGTGCCACCCACAAGTGCCCAGCAGTGCCACCCACAAGTGCCACTCACCTGTGCCCAGCAGTGCCACCCATCAGTGCCGTCAGTCAGTGCCACCCATCAGTGCCCATCATTGTAGCATATCAGTGTAGCATCATCAGTGCCAGCTCATCAGTGCTGCCTCATCAACGCACATCAGTGAAGGAGAAATATTACCTGTTTGCAAAATTTCATAATAGAAACAATCACATTTTTGGCTATTTTTTTATTTATAGCGCAAACAATAAAACACACAGCTGTAATTAAATACCACCAAAAGAAAGCTCTATTTGTGTGAAAAAAAATGTTAAAAATGTCCTATGGGTACAATGGGTACCTTTGGACTTAATAACTGGTTGACCCTCCTTTGGCATCAATAACCTCAACCAAACGTTTCCTGTAGTTGCAGATCAGACCTGCACAACGATCTGGAGTAATTTTGGACCACTCCTCTTCACAAAACTGTTTCAGTGTAGCAATATCTTGGGATGTCTGGTGTGAATCGCTCTCTTAAGGTCATGCCACAGCATTTCAATCGGGGTGAGGTCAGGACTCTGACTGGGCCACTCCAGAAGGTGTATTCTGTGCTGTTACAGCCATTGTTTTGTTGAATTAATTGAATGCTTTGGGTCATTGTCCTGTTGCATCACCCATCCTCTGCGGAGCTTCAGTTGGGGAACAGATGGTCGTACGTTTTCCTGCAAAATGTCTTGATAAACTCTGGAATTCATTTTCCCATCAATGACAACAATCCGTCCAGGCCCTGAGGCAGCAAAGTAGCCCTCCGCCATGTTTTACAGTGGGGATGAGGTTTTGATGTTGGTGTGCTCTGCCTTTTTTTCTCCACACATAGTGTTGTGTGTTCTTCCCAAACAACTCAATCTCGGTTTCATCTGTCCACAGTATATTTTGCCAGTAGTGCTGTGGAACATCCAGGTGCTCTTTTGCAAACTTCAAACGTGCTGCAATATTCTTTTTGGACAGCAATGGCTTCCTCCGTGGTGTCCTCCCATGTACTCCATTCTTGTTTAATGTTTTCCTTATTGTAGATGTGTCAACAAAAATGTTAGCATGTGCCAGAGATTTCTGTTGGTCTTTAGCTGACACTCTGGGATTCTTCTTTACCTCATGCAGCATTCTGCGCTGTGCTCTTGCAGTCATTTTTACAGGACGACCACGCCTAGGGAGAGTAGCAACAGTGCTAAACCTTCTCCATTTGTAGACAGTCTGTCTTTCCGTGGACACATGAACATCAAGGCTTTTGGAGATACTTTTGTAACCCTTTCCAGCTTCATGCAAGTCAACAATTCTTGATCGTAGGTCTTCTGAGAGCTCTTTTCTGCGAGGCATGGTTCACATCAGACAGTGCTTCTTGAAACCAGTAAACCCAAAACAGGTGTGTGTTTAAGGGCAGGACAGCTGTCAGCAACACATCCAATATCATCACACTGATTGGAGTCAAGGTTGGCTCACTCCTGGCTCCAATTAGCTCTGGGAGAAGTCTTTAAGCTAGGGCCTCACATACTTTTTCCTCCCTGCACTGTGAATGTTTACATGTTATGTGCAATTAAACCATGGCAACATCTAATGTTTGTGTAGTATTATGTTCAGCAGACTGTGTTCTTCTATTGTTGTGACTTAGATGACGTTCAGAGCACATTTTATGCCCAATTCATGCAAAACTCCACGTAATCCCAAGGGGTTCACATACTTTTTCTTGCAACTGTACAGCAGTTCTCAGAAACAGTGCTTCTAAAACTAAATATTAATTCAGTGATTCAAAGGAAAGCAAAATCTTCAAACATTTTTCAGTTTATATAGTGAATGTTTGAGTTTGTAGGAAGAATACAAACACTGCTATTTTTTTGAACAGTCTAATATTCACTTTTCTTCAAGTTTTTTAGAGAAACAACACATACCGTATTTTTCGCTCCATAAGACGCACCTAGACGCACATAGGTTTTAGAGGCGAAAAACAAGAAAAAAAAATATTCTGAACCAATGGACTGCAGACATAGTACAGGAGATGACCAGAGACTGCAGACATAGTACAGGAGATGACCAAAGACTGCGGACGTAGTACAGGAGATGACCAGAGACAGGACATAGTACAGGAGATGACCAGAGACTGCGAACACAGTACAGGTGATGACCAGAGACTGCAGACATACTACAGGAGATGACCAGAGACTGCAGACACAGTACAGGAGATGACCAGAGACTGCGAACATACTACAGGAGATGACCAGAGACTGCAGACACACTACAGGAGATGACCAGAGACTGCAGACATACTACAGGAGATGACCAGAGACTGCGGACACACTACAGGAGATGACCAGAGACTGCAGACACACTACAGGAGATGACCAGAGACTGCAGACACACTACAGGATGACCAGAGACTGCAGACACAGAGACAGGAGATGACCAGAGACTGCAGACACACTACAGGAGATGACCAGAGACTGCAGACACACTACAGGAGATGACCAGAGACTGCAGACATACTACAGGAGATGACCAGAGACTGCGGACATACTACAGGAGATGACCAGAGACTGCCAGACATACTACAGGAGATGACCAGAGACTGGGACATAGTACAGGGAAAATACCAGGGAACAGTACAGATGACCAGAGACTGCAGACAGTGCAGGGAATAACCAGAGACTGCAGACAGTGCAGGGGAGACCAGAGACTGCAGACAGTGCAGGGGATGACCAGAGACTGCAGACAGTAAAGGAGATTACCAGAGACTGCAGACAGTAAAGGAGATTACCAGAGACTGCAGACAGTAAAGGAGATTACCAGAGACTGCTGACCTTTGGGGAGGGAGGGGGAGCGGGTACCTGAATTTGACAAGTACCCGCTCCCACTTTCGCAGAGTTGTCCTTCCCTCTTCTTCCCGCTCCAGCTTCTGTGACAGCCGGGTGCCCACTGCGCATGCGCGAGAAGCGCTGCGCTTTGAGAATGGCCCGGCGCCTTCTGGGACCTGTCATGTGTCCCAGAAGACACCGGACTATTCACAAAGCGAAGCGCATGCGCAGTGGGCACCCGGCTGTCACAGAAGCCAGTGCGGGAAGACTATACAGCGCTGGAGCAAGGAACAGGTAAGGCCCTTTAAGAGAGAACAGCTGAGCGGCCGGCCCGGTATTCTGACATGGTGGCGGTCGAAATACCGGACCGGCCGCTTTATATTCGCTCCATAAGACGCACTGACATTTTCCCCCCTTTTTTTGGGGGAAAAAAAGCGCATCTTATGGAGCAAAAAATACGGTATTTGATATATTTTTCTTCATGTTTTGATTTGGAATAGAATGTGTAGTGTTCCCAATGCATTTGTGTGTATGGAAATAAAAGCTATTAGAAGGATTTTGAGCTTTATTCACTTTTTTCAAACACACTGCTAATATTTTGAACACAACTGTATATATATATATATATATATATATATATATATATATTTTTTTTTTTGCGTTGCTTTTATTCATCATTGTTTCATGAGATGATGCAAGAGATTGTCAGAGACAGCGGACATGATACGAGAGATTGTGGATATGATACAACAGACCCTGCATATGATACAACAGACCCAGTCAGAGATTGTGGGTATGATATAAAAGACCCTGCATGTCTCATTAAAGAGAACCTGTCACATAAAAATCATCACGTAAAGAAAAAAAAAAGTTAAATTTTTTTTATTGCAAAATATATAAAAAGTTACACCCAAGCATATAAGAGCCCTCCAAAATAAATGCACATGTTGGGGCGCATGAAAATGGTGATTGTGATAAACATGTTACAAATCGTCACACACGCCGGAGTGAGAGCAATAATTCTAGCACAAGACCTCCTCCCCATGATGCTAAACTGATGAAGCATCGCCTAAAGAAAATATAGGGTACTGTAGTTTATCGCATTTCATAGGCACACACAAATTTCATGTGTGGCATGTTGGATTCCCATTTACTGGGCGCAACCTCGCCTTTTATAGTTTACCAAGCAGCTCAGTGTGGGAGCTCATTCTAGCTGTGAGAGGTTCAGGGGAAGCATCGCTTTTTTCTGCTCCTTGTTCTCTCTAGAGTTTCTGCTATTTCAGCAATGGGGTGTTGCTCTAGATGTCACCAAGCCAGAGAAGATGATGACTATTACCATCAGTCATCACTAAAACCCTCAGGTTGTCATAGCACTGCCAGTCCCATCTTCGCTAAGGCTGGGACCAACATTAGCACCTCTAACCTGATGGAGGTTTCCTCAATACCTTCAGGGCATTGCCGCCCTGCATATCTAGTGGAGGCTAGAACAGACAACATGAGCAATGTCGTTTCAGGGCCTTTCAGCCCTTCTTGTATCACCTCGGCTGAGGTGATTGACACCAATTCTCTATATGGAGATGATGACCACCACCAGTCATCTCCAAAACCCTCAGGGTGTTAGAACTTTGCAAGTCCCACCTTGGCTAAGGCTGGGACCAGGGGCGGACTGACAACTCATGGGGCCCCCGGGCAATAGGGGATCATGGGGCCCGTGTCCTTGCCCAAACTCAAAAAAGCCTATAAAAAAGGTACCAGGGGCATCTCATGGGGCCCCCTACTGACTCTGGGCCCTCAGGCAGTGCCCAAGTTTCCAAATGGTCAGTCCACCCCTGGCTGGGACTAACATCAGCACATCCAACCTGCTGGAGGTTTCCTCAACACCGTCAGGGTATTGCAGCCCTGCAGATCCAGCTGAAGATAGAACCGACATCAACCTGGGCACAGAGAGTGTCCTTTCAGGACCCTGCAGTCCTTCTCATCCTGCCTCGGCCAAGGCTGGAACCACAGACACCAAACCAAGCTGTGACATGACAAGCTTCATATTGCACAATGTGCTCGGAGAGGGAAGCTTTGGAGGGGTAAGTGCTCATTTACTCCCCTGCTACTTAGATTAGTAGCTCCACCCACAAAACAAATCCCTCCCTGGTAATCAGACATTATGTACCAACCACCAAAAATGGCTTCAGCTGCTGATAGACTAAATCATCACCCACTGCCTTCTCAAACCAAATTCCATGAGGTCCCCTTCCATCATGTCTCACTTTTCTATTCCTTAGTATGAGAAGGAGTGCAGCAGAAAAACACCAAGAAGAGCACTAGGAGGAGTTGTGAACACAAAAGCAGATAGGTCTCAGTGCCAGAGATAGAAGAGGACAATCTGTGTCTGAACCCGTCACTCTTCACCTCCAACTATTTCTGCTTCATAGTCAGTGCTGGTTACACCCTGCCCCAGTCCTGAACACCCCTTTCAATATGATGCGTGTGCTTTTTTACTAGGGGACGTGCTGCTTTCTATTTCTGCTTTACAGAGATAGAAAGCAGCATGTCCCTGCTGACAGATTTTTTTGATTTAAATCTGATTTTTTTTAATAAAATGCTTTTTGAGGAAAATATATTACCATCCAAAGGTTATTCCATCATGAAATAAAGATTAGTTTTTTAATTATGTAGAATAAGGCTGTATAGGTTTAATTTTTTTGGTAAATAAATTCCATGAATCCATTCACAATGTCATGCTCTTCCAGAGGTTTTTGTAAGATTATTGGGCAGTTTCTCTGCCTACAAGATATTATCACAGATGATTGGTTTACTTTTGCAGTTCTCAAAACTGAATTTGACTCAGCGGAGATCACATGCCTCTTCTTCACAGCAAAAATGTTATAACATGAACAGAGTTAAGAAAAAGACCTTCATCCTAACTTCTACAAACCTATGAATACAGAACCAACCCCTTCAGTGCTAAGTTTCAAGAAGTTCAGTGAATAGAAACAATATTTTTCTGATTGTTTGGAGTGGAATAGATCTGCACAAGAAGAAAGTGAAACTAAGTGTGAGGAGGAAGGGGCTGACAGTCTAAGTTTCTGAAAATATATATATTTTGTTTAGCCAAATTAGTTAACAAACATGGATGTTTAAGCAAATAATATATGCTGGAATGTTATTGTTTCAGTTGAATAAATCTATTTAAATTGTTATTATTAAGGTAATGATTATTTTTCTCCTTCCTAAGTACAACAGAAAAGTTGTCCAAATATGAATGATTAACCTATTAAACTGGGGATAAAAAAACTAATATGAAAAGTTGTTTTTCTAAAAATCTTCATCTACTTGCATATTAAAGTAATACCAGCAAGAATTAATCTATGTAGAAAACGAGGATTTAAATCAAGCCTTACTGACTAGTGATTTAAATCGTGATTTAAATCAAATCCACCCTGGGGCGGTCCTTAAATGGTTAAAGAGCTATCTTTTTTTAAACAGGAGCTCTGCTTTACCACACATTGATAAGAATATTTACATCATGTTGAGATCTCTTACACAAAGCTCTAACACAGTAATTAGAAACAGTATGCATACCCTTGAACAGAACTGTGCTTATTACAGGCTCACAAATATCACAATCAGCTAGGATTTGGAAACAAAAATCAGTCATTCCATCCTCACCATATTTCTGGTGAAGAATCCTCTATTATAATGATTGTCACAGATATCAGGTGACTAACAGATGTCAGCACAATGCCTAGAATGAGTAATCGGCCAGCCTGGAGAAGACAGAGTTAAAGGAGGTACTCGTGACCAAATATTTAGGAATGAGAAGGTGTGTCGCTGCCGGGAAGGGGTCCCCCTCTACAGCAACTATCAAATACAAATCACAACTGCAGAGAGAGAGGCTAGAGGGGGTGAGCATGGAAACCTCCTATTTCCTATAGGAAGTGGGGCTGTGCAGTGTTTGCCCAGGGAGGAACCTCATGTTACACAACATCTTCATCTTAGGAATCATGAATCATTTGCTGCAATAAATGTCTGCATTAGTTGTCAGTGCTTTCCTGACCACTTAAAGTATGTTCATCACCTCCAAACAACGGATATACAGTAGTCATCTAGTCTGCAGGTCTCTAGATGCTGAGGGAATAAAACAAATCCAGCATGGGTGAAAAAAACAACTTCTTCTCATCTTATTTTAAACTGGTTATACCTGAATTGAATCCACTTTAAATAAGAACTTATCCATTAAGTAGTCTGCACAAGGAAATATGTGGCTACTAACTGCAGCTGGAAAACGTTGGCTATTAACCACTTGCCCTCCTGAGGATTTACCCCCCTTAATGACCAGGCCTCTTTTTGCTACTCGGCGCTGCACTTATTCAACTGATAATTGCGCGGTCATGCAATGCTGCACCCAAACGAAATTTACGTCCTTTTTTCACACAAATAGAGCTTTCTTTCAGTGGTATTTGATCACCTGTGCGCTTTTTATTTTTCACGCTATAAACAAAAAAAGACCAAAAATTTTGAAGAAAAACGATATTTTTTACTTTTCAGCTATACAAAATATATAGTAAACTCAAAGTTAGTTGTAAATTTAGGCTAAAATGTATTCTGCTACATGTTTTTGGTAAATAAAATCCCAATAAGTGTATATTGATTGCTTTGTGTGAAAGTTATACGTCTACAAACTATGGTATAGATACTGCAATTTACGCCATTTCTTTGCTATACAGCGCTGCGCTAGTTTACGGACAATTGCGCAGTCATGCAATACGGTAAATAAATGAAATTTATGTCCTTTTT